CCTCTGGTCCCCAATGCCAGGCAATCCAGGGGTGTCCCCTGGCAGCAGCCGCAAAAATTAGGGCACCAGATGTGTCCACAAGCTGCTTTTAGGGAAATACCCATGGCCTAGAAAAAAGCAGAGCAAGACTGCAAAGATAGTGCTTCCCCTCTGAAGTCTCTGGAAAGAACTACTATTGGCTCTGCCTAGAGCTTTCATTAGAGCCTGCCCCTCAGGCCACAGCTATGAAGGTAAGCTACTAGGTATCTTCCACAGAAGAACTGGATATTTGTGTCCGTTGCCTCTGCTGTGCCTTGGAGTTATAGTCAGCTAGGACTTGCCCATACATCCATTACATCCAGTATAGTTCTCACGAGCTCAAGCCCCACTGGCCACCAGAGCCAGGTGATCTAGCAGCAGCCACAAAACGCAGGGTGCTGGATGGGTGTAGAAGCTCCTTTCTGGGAGATGCAAGAGGCTGGAGTGAAGCAGAAGGAGAGAACAAATATGGCACCACTGGCCTCCCCCTTTGGAGCATTTTGGTAGGTTCCTCCCTACATGTGTTTAATTCAATGCCTGATAAGGATATAAGCCTCTCTCACAGAAAGCCTGGGCACTTCTCAGTCAGCTGCTTTGTATTGGGCGCTAGGGTGGATGAGTCTGCCCATGAGAGCCCTTTCAGAACTGCTTTTCAGTTCGAAATAGTCTTCTGGGTCTTGTGGAGGCAAGCCCCATTGGCTTTCAAAGCTGGATGTTTGGGGAGCTTGTCTCTCAGGTAAGGTCTTAAAAGTTGCAGTGCCAAATGGGTTCAACCCTTCACTCCTCACAGGGGAGATCTCAGGATTTTGAGTTACCATGCTGGGGGTGAAGTTTGTGGTGAGGCTATGTTCTAGCCTCCCCTACCTATTTCCATGTGGGTTTTTTTTTTCTCATTCACCTAATGTGTAGGCGTTGCTCAGCTAGTTTTGGGGTTTCTTTCAGAGAACATTGTTCTATATGTAGCTATAAATTTGGTGTGTCCATGGGAGGAAGTGATTTCAGGATCATCCCATGTCACCACCTTGAACCAGAACACTGCCTATTCATTTTCTTAATGGTGCCTTTTAATAAGTAGAATTTTTTTATTTTGATAAGGCTTTTTCATTTATGGCTATTGCTTTTTGTGTCCTAAGATACCTTTGCCTATCCCTAAGTCATGAAAATGTTCTTCCATGATGTCATCTCAAAGTTCAAGGTTTTAGTATTTATGCCAATAATTTGGTATGGTCAAACTTTAATTTTTGCCCAACTAGTGTGTGTGTGTTATTTTTTTTATTTTCTAGTCTCTTATTATTGACGTGGTTAAACAATTTTCCACATGTTTATTGGCTATTTGGATTCCCACCTCTGTGAAACTCAAGTTTTGTCACTTTTTCTATAGGGTTGTGTGCCTTTTCTTACTGAATTTTTTTTGCATCTCAAAGACTGTCTTTTTGAAGTGTTTTATTTGTGTATAATTCGCATGCAATACATTGCATATATTTAATGTGTTTGATAAAATGTGATGTATGTATACACCCATGAAATTATACCCCACAATCAAGAGAATGTCCATGTCCACCCCTCAAAGTTTCTTCATGCTCCTTTGTAAACCATCCCTCCTTCCATTCCCCATCACTAGGCAACCACTGATCTGCTCGCTATCACTATACATTAGTTTGCTTTTCTAGAATTTTATATAAATGGAAACATACAGTATGCACTCTGTTTTATCTGCTTTCTTTCACTCAGCATAATCATTTAGAATTATTACTTCCTTTTGATGAATCAACTCCTTTATCTCTATGAAATGACCCCTTTTCCTCTAGTGATAATTTTTGCTCTAAAATCTACTTTGTGTGATATTTATAGAAACACTCCAACGTTCTTTAAAATAATGTTAGCACAACGTATCTTCTTTTCTTTTAATATTTAATATTCTTTTAATATTAACCATTAGTGTCTTTAAAGATTTTTTTAAGTTGGATTTTATTTGTTTATCCAATCTGAACATTTTTGCCTTCTCATTGGGTGCATTCGTGTAATTTTTTTATATGGCCGAGTTTAAATTTACCGCTTGACTATTTTTTCCTTTTTTTTCCTTCCTGGTTAAAAAAAAAAATTTTTTTTTTAACTTCCCACACAGGGCTCAATCTCAAGACCCTAAGATCATAACCTGAGCCAAAACCAAGAGTTGGATGCTTAACCGACTGTGCCACCCAAGCGTCCCATTTGTAAAAGTATTTATAAGAATTCTCTGAAGTGGAATAAGAAATATCCTGATCTTAAGATGATCTGTGTTTGCCACTGTCGGGGGCATGTCTAGGGGCACTACTGCCTTGAACTTTTTTAAACTCCCCTGAGTCTTCCAGGCAAAACTTTCTGGGATATAAAGCCATACAAGAACCAACCCATTGCCACCAATTGTTAGGACAAACTTTTACTTTTCTCGCTTTTTCTGATCACTTAGTTACTGATGTCACTGAAGCGTTAAGGAGGGCACAAATTTAATCCTGACTTACTCTTACTCTGAGAATATAGTCTTCTGATAACACAGGTTAATGTAGGGAGGATATCCAATTTGATTCTCTATCTTAAATCCCCTCTCTCTTGACTAGGTTGACAAATACCTTTAGGCTAAAAGTAGACTATGGGCTCTGGTGTTCTGCTTTATTCTCAAGATTCCTAATTTCCCTGTCTTTGGGCTAATAGTTCCCTACTCTCTTGTCAGTTATTTGGTGCTTTTAAGGTGACTCTTAAAAGGCTGCTGTTTGTAGGCTTTGTGATATGTTTGTTTTGTTTTTATTTTATTTACATTCAATTGATTAACTTATAGTGTATTATTAGTTTCAGAGGTAGAGTTCAGTGATTCATCAGTTGTATATAACACCCAGTGCTTATATGTTTGTTTTTAAGAGCAAAAGTTTGTCCATAGAAACTACCTGCTGCTCCTAGAAATGAAAGTCTCCAAGTCATTTCTTAATTATTTATAATAAAATGGTTTTTAAGCAGATGATCACATCCACAAAATATACTTTTTAAATAGTTCCACTGGGTAAATATTTTCAGTGATTATAATCCAAAAAATATACGTATATGTTGGTTGAGTTACAGACCCAAGTTTGAGCACCACTTAAGTGACAATTGATAAGCAAAACTTGAAGAATATGCTTACATTTCACAAAATATTAAAATCTTCACGCCTAATTATGTGCAAGAACATCTTTATAAAGTTATTTTAATGATTGCATACGAAGAAAAATATGGTGTACAATAGAACACAAGTGGAAATTTGACAATTAGTTCCTTTCCTTGAACATGAACTAGATTTATTTTTAATGTAATGACTTCCACAGCCTTCATGTTTTTTTTTTAATTTTATTATGTTATGTTAGTCACCATACAATACATCATTAGGTTTTGATGTGGTGATCCACAATCCATTGTTTTCGTATACCACCCAGTGCTCCATGCAGTACATGCCCTCCTTAATACCCATCACCGGGTTAACCCTTCCCCCCTCCCCCCTCCCCTCTAAAACCCTGTTTGTTTCTCAGAGTCCATAGTCTCTCATGGTTCATCTCTCCCTCTGAGTCCCCCCGCTTCATTCTTCCCTTCCTTCTCCTAATATCCTCCATGTTATTCCTTATGTTCCACAAATAAGTGAAACCATATGATAATTGACTTTCTCTGCCTGACTTATTTCACTTAGCATAATATCCTCCAGTCCCATCCATGTTGATGCAAATGGTGGGTATTCATCCTTTCTGATGGCTGAGTATTGTATGTAAGGACCACATCTTCTTTATCCATACATCTGTTGAAGGGCTTCTCGGCTCTTTCCACAGTTTGGCTATTGTGGACATTGCTGCTATGAACATTGGGATGCATACAGCCCTTCTTTTCACTACATCTGTGTCTTTGGGGTAAACACCCAGTAGTGCAATTGCTGGGTCATAGGGTAGCTCTATTTTTAAATCTTTGAGGTACCTCCACACTGTTTTCCAAAGTGGCTGTACCAACTTGCATTCCCACCAACAGCCTTCAACTTTTTCATGAAAGATTATATATTTTGTGTCATACCACTTAGCATCCAACATATGAATAAATAAACCTTGTCTCAGAAGTAATATTTTTTGCAAAGGTCATTTTAGAGGCACAATGTCTCTGTTCTAATTACACCAGATTAGCCAGATCCAAATTGATCTCTTTGAAGATATCTAGATAGATGTCTATATCTATCTGTCTATCTGTCTATCTATCTATCTATCTATCTATCTATCTATCTATCTATCTATCGTCTATCTACATATATAACAAAGAACTACCACCAAAAATGTAATTCAGGGGATATAGTGACTATAGTTACCATGCTTTAAAAATGTTAGGCTCATAATTTTTTGCCTTTAATATCACATATGTTCTATAAATGGCTTCATCCTGAAAAGATAGAGACCTTCTGGAATGCTGAAAATTGAGATGAAACATGCCCCAGATGGAAGAAAATAGCAAGGAACATATACAAAAAGGCAAATGGATTTTTTTTTTAATTATTCAAAAGCAAGAGAAGAAGGTTCAGGCAAATAATTCCTCATAGTCTCAAAAATTACTGACAACATATCTGTAATTATTTAAAAAACCTCAAAGAAGAAATAAAAAGGTCCAGAGACAAGGTGATTAGGAAATGGGGGAGAGCTGGCTGCACTTCAGGACATAAATGAAAATAAGAATATTGCAATGACAAAAGTAAATGAAGAGGGAGAGAGAAGCAATATAAATAAAAGGACTTCATAAGATACAGTTAGCAGAGAAAATAAGAAAAATGTAACAAAGGAAATTTAATATGTCCATAATTGGAATTTCTGAAATAGAAAAGAAATTGGAAAAAATGCTAAATATATTCTTTTTCTTACCTAAAGAGAGGTTTAAATCTGTCCTGAAAGTATTCATTGTCCCCATTCCCAGTTTTCATGTTTTACACAAACGTTCATTTTCTTTTTCAGACAGTAACATTTTTTCAGAATATAAATTATGAGGCAGTAGATGACTACTTCAAGTTGCAGTAAGTATGACTTTTAAAAGAACCTATTTGATGTGAAATGTGCTATTGAGATGATTGATTTGTAGGTATTCTTTTACTTACATGGCCTCATGTCGCTTTAAATATCTACATTTCAAATTTCTTTAAGTGTCTGGTTAGATGTGAAATTATTATTCTGTATAAAAGTGTAAAATACTCCTTGTAATTAAATGAAACATATCTAGAGGTTTCCATTTGTCCAACAGAAGATGCAAAAAAAAAATAGACTATTTCTTTTTTTTTTACTTAAAATCAATTAACACATAGTTTATTAGTGTCAGAGGTAGAGTTTAGTGATTCATCAGTTGCATATGACACCCAGTGCTCATTCCACCAAGTGAAAAATGGGCTATTTCTTAATTCAGTAATTTTCAAGCATGTGTTATCATTCATTCCCATCCCAAAATCTTTGCATACCATCCTTGGGCAGACTAGAACTCTAATATGAGAAGGCCTTTAACTATGAGTAGAATCAGAAAAAACATCATCTTTGACTCTTGGAATAGGTAGCACCTGAGCACGTCATTTCTGGAGGAAATAACCGACCTGGAATTGTGTCTTGAGGCATTCTATGGCTGTCATTATGTCCTGACTCGATAGATTTTTCTGGAAAAATAGCACTGTTTTTCTAGGAAAAAGTCCATTTTCCTTAGTCTGCTGCTCCTCCGAGTGAGTTTGAACACCCGCTCTATGCCAAGCACTTTGTAGGTGCTCAAAACACATGGTGAACAAGTAAGATGAAGTTCTGCCATCATGGGACATATCTCTAGTGAGAGAAGACAAAGAACAAGTAATCAAATAAATGAGCAAGATAATTTCAAGTAGTTATAAGTGCAGTTAAGAAAATAAAACAGGAGGGCACCTGAGTAGCTCAGTTGGTTGAGCATCCAACTCTTGATCTCAGCTCAGGTCATGGGATCGAGCCCCATGTTGGGCTCCACACTCAGCAGGGAGTCTGCTTGAGATTCTCTCTGTCTCTCTCTCTGCCCCTCCCCTGGCTCTCTTTCTCTCTTTAAAATAAACAAATCTTAAAAAAAAAAAGAAAGAAAGAAAATACAACAGAATGAAGTGGTAGAGAGTGACCAGGAAGGGGAGAGAGAAAAGACCACTCTGGAGACTGTAGTCAAGGGAGGCTCAATTCACACCTCACCCCCTCACCCACCAACTTTTCTCTGGATGCTTCTAATGTTGTGGGTTCCTTGGGGGTATTTTTAGTTTTGTGGATATTTACTCAGAATTGTATTGTGCTGTCGAATACATACCAAATTGTCCAGGATACTTCAGGTCAGTCCAAGACTTGAGAAAAAAATACCAAAAGCTTTGAAATCAGCTGTAGTAGGGGAAAAGAAAAACCTTCTTAGAAGAAACATTGTATAGAAAATTGTAGATGCAATATTTACTCGAGTGTCCTTCATAGATCTAGACTATATTACTGTATTTGTCAAATCAAAGATTCCATCACACTGGAAAACAAACCATAATCGGCATAATTGTAAGGTGCTTCCTGGTTTTAAGGGTGTTAAATGAGAAAAAATATGTATCTTAGAATTGATGAAATATATGGTACAGTGATTTAAAAATATAAAATGTGCTATTTGTATCCTCGCTTATTATATTTTATACCTAATATATGACAAATAAATAAATATTAAAATGTGACAAATATTGGAAGAAAAAGAACATTTGTTTGTGGTTAGTTTGTTTTTCCCCAGTTTTTTCAAAAAGGAAAAACCTTAGCAGGACGGAGTATCAATAAAACTTTCAAAAGTTTTTCCGCGATTTTTGACCCCTCCCATTTTGTCTGAGCAGAAAACGATTCTTATGCACTTCAGAACCTAGAAATTTGATCTCACTTTTGCTCCCAGTCGGACCATATAGTATTGCAGCATAACGTGGCTCAGAAAACTAATCTCATAACTTACGCTTTATCATTCCAAAAGTGTCATCAATAGGAGGAAAAGATCCGTAGAGGCTAGAGAAAGAACAAACAGAGCACCTGTGGCCTTCTAAGATCATTAGAAAGCAGGACCTGATGTTAGAGATGCTAAGGGACTGAGGGTGTTAATGAAAGGGGGCGGGGGTAGGCGGTGGAAATGATAGATGCTCACTTCTGTTTCCCATTGGGCCGACCCTACACTAGCCCGCCATGAGGTGAGGGTGACTTCAGGGAGTGACCACAGGGCGCCGCTGCCTTAGCAGAAGCAGCAGGCAGTCACCCCCACCTCCCCCTCCCAGGCCTCTAGAATTCCTCCTGGGGTCCCGTCACCCCGTGTCCATGGGACTTTCCATGGGCTCTATGGGAAGGCGGGCTCCGTGCCTGCCTCCCTTGTGATTCTGTAACCACCTGCGTGTGCCGTTTCTCCTAGAGACCAGAACACGGGCCTTCGGCTTGTGCAGGTTCGGCCTAGTGAATATGCAAGAGCATGTCCAATAGCCCAAAAGGTAAGTGACAGAGGTGGATCAACACCTTTACTTCAGTTTAGCCACAGGCGGTGGGTAGGATAATCCTCACAAGCAATAGCATTCCCTTCATCCTGGGCGGGGTGTGTCATGTCTCACGGGGGGGGGGGGGGGGCGTACTATTTCACTTTGGAGACAGACCACGGTTCCATCTTCCTGGCGTTTACCATCGAAAGTGAGGTGTAGAAACGCATACAAAAATGGAAAATAATTTTGGAGATAAAACTATAAGGGAAAACTTAAATGAATGGGAACTCAAGTGGGATATGGTTTGTCAGAGAAGACGGCCAGTTAGGTCTACATTTATCATTTCTTCATTCACAAAAAATTAAAATCTAAAATTTATTGTGTACCTACTGTGTTCTTTAGCTTCAGTCTGCGTGCTAGGTAACGGGGAGTTACAAAGATGAAAAGACCGGCTCTTCCCTAGGGGCAAACAAAAGCTACTCTAAGGGAATATGAGATGCACAGTCATCAGAGAGCCCAGAAGAGCGGGCACTTTTGACTGGAGAGGGGCAGGGTGAGGCAAAAAATGTTGAAGAGTAAGTGGAAGGTGAGCAGGCTGATAGAAAGGGAATTCCAGGAAGCCGTGCCTACAAAAGCACATCGGGCGATACAGCAGCGGGGGGTCCAGGTAACTGAACACAGATCCGTCAGGCCACCACCTCTCCTGAGTCTGTTCTACCCTGAGGGATGCCTCCTCGCTTTATTCCTTCTCAGCCTAACTAACAATCAATAAGCATACATTGAGCGCCTACTATATACCAGGCGTAACACAGCAAGGAATGCCTACAAGAAGAATTCAAAGGTACACGATATGCAGTCCCTGCCCTTCGGGACCCCAGCACAAGGAGCCTGTTCCTACCAGGACAAGCTTCCATGAATTTGGAGGGAGCCCTGAGCTGAGGCAGGTGTGAGCCGAGCTTGAGCGCTGCCGACACACACCCTGCTTTCCCGGGAAACTGCCTGCGGGTGCTCACCAGCCCCTCCCCTCTGTCTGCCCACCGCGCGGCCCACCCAGCCTCATCCGCCCAGGAAGCAAGAAACAGCAACGTAGCCAGTTCTTCCCCAGCCTCCCGCCTGGGCTCTCCATCTTCAGCTGTTTGTTCCGTACAGAAGCCTTCCAGAAGCACCTTGCTTTCCTAATCAATAGATGTGTTAGGGACCCCATCCACTGTATTCTTCCCAGCCCCGGTATTACAAAAGCAGGTTAATCGAACCTGCGCTCCAATGGGAGCTCTGCCACCCGCTGGCCAGGGCAAGCTACTAAACACTGAGTCTCGGGGGCCTCAACCCTAAAAGGGAAATGTAACTTCTATCTCACGGTATTTATCTGCTCTGTTGAGAGTATTAAATGAGATCATTAAAGTGCCCAGCACAGTGCCTGTCACAAAGTAACTAATACTACAGGTTCGTTCCTTCTCTTCCTTGCTTGGCACACCCCAAGACACGGGCAGGTCACACCTGGCCACCCTCTGTGTCGGGAGCCGGTAGTTTGTATGGTCGGCAGTGAAGCCACCCCAGTGAGCCAGTCCCCCAGAAAGCCTTAGTAATTCCTTCCAGCATGAATTTTCCCAGGGAGAGATGACTACACCCTAACACATTATTTACCAACATTTCTGTGTTGAGGACCTTTAGAATTCCTGTCTCAGTTCAATTGTTTTGTCCACTTAGGGGGAATGTGCTGTGTCTGACCCTGGGCTAAGTGAAGAGCCTGCCTGCCCTGTCTCCGCATTTCAGAGAATAATATTAAATAAAGAAGACCAGAATGCACTCATTGTTTTCATTTGGGCTGTATGTCAGAATTTCTCTAATTAGGTATCCAGTCCTGAGTACACTGTCAGCCCTATCACAGTGGGTAACCTAGAAAACAGCCTGATTCACGCTTCCCATACTCTCTACCCACGCTTCTGTTCGAGATCTACCTGCAGGTCAACTCAGATTTTTAATACTAAGCGTGGTTGTTGATTTTTGTCAACTGGGTGCCAGAAGAGAAGGGATCAAGTGATGGTGAGTCTTGACTGAAAGATTTGAGGACCTCAGTCAACCAAGGGTGTCATATGGATAGTTTAGTAAAAATAAAGGGCAGGCCCACACTTCTGAACACATCTGATGGGAAAACAAAGATCTGGGGCACCCGGGTGGCTTAGTTGGTTGAGCGACTGCCTTCAGCTCAGGTCATGATCCCGGGGTCCTGGGATCGAGCCCCGCATTGGGCTCCCTGCTCAGCCAGGAACCTGCTTCTCCCTCTCCCACTCCCCCTGCTTGTGTTCTCTCTCTCTCTCTCTGTCAAATAAATAAATAAAATCTTTAAAAACAAACAAAGATCTGATGATGACGGACACCCAAGGACTGTGGGTAGAGTTGCTGACAGAACAAACCAGGTCCTGGGACCGAGATCAGGTGGTTCAGGCAGTAAAATGCCTGAACGCCTGCTGTGGAGCATGCCTTTCCATGAAGGCGGAAAGGTCTGGGTTTAGCAGGTATAACTCTTTAAATCCATCAAGCTTGTCTGGACATGGTTCCCTACCCCACCCTCCTGATCCCCACATCCTTCTTCGGGGTAGGGAGTATTAGAGTTTTTTTCAGATTCACCTTGTGGAGAAATGCAACGTACAGGACATTTTTAAGACTGAAAGCAAGTGTCTAGATCCCACTTAGGAAGCCTGGGGGTGTCTACCCCTGTAGGGTAGACAGCAGTAAGTAAATGTCCTGGACCAGGTGGAAATAGAAATAGGCATCCTAGTCAGGGAAGAACCAGGTCTCTGGTCAAATGAATAGCAAGATACATTACAGAAACCCTCCAGCTGCCCCCGAGTCAGGTGCAGGCTGGAAGAACACAGTCGATGATGATGGTGGTAGACGTGCTGCTGAAAGATGAGATTGGGTTAGTTCTCTGAGATACTGATGTCAAAAAGCAGAGAACTAGCCTTTGGGCCTTGTGAGCAGTAATGGCAACAGGAAGCAAAGACAGAAAAAATGTGATCAGAAAGAAGGTGTAAAACAGCACAGAAAAGTATAACAAAACCCTACATTTAAAGGGTTATTATTTCAAATCTAAAATGTAATCACTTTTCGCTGTAGTAACATTTTAGCTCATGGGAATCAGAACCACACACCTCACCACTTAAATTGCTTCATTTTAGGTATTCCAAATAGCTGTTGGCTGTGATTCTACCAAATACATTGCTGTTAAAGGGCAAGTATATTTGCATTTGACCTGTCTTACTCTTTACGTTTTCAAACAAATGGTGAACTACATGGTAAATACCGGTGGTACTATTAGCCTAATGACTGACATGTTCAAGATGAAATTCGAAAATTGAACTGACACTGGCGTCTAGAAACTGAATTGACAGTTTGTCCAAACCCGATTTGTTTGAACTTTCTGCCAAGTCAAACCTTACCTCTGAATCATACTAACAGGTAAAAAAGGAGTAACCTCTTTCCCTGTTGCCTACATTTTTCTCCGCCTTCCCTTTTAATCATCCTGTTTCTATCCATCACCATTTTCTCTCTGAGCTCTTCAGGCTAGCCCTCATTCCCAGAGAAACAAGAGGGAGAAACATGTCTACTTTCCATCCTACTCAAACCAGTTATAATGTCATTTCCATCAGAGAATTGCTTACATCCACATCAGAGAAACCTGCATCATTCCCCGTGGGAAATGTTTTTAGAGCAAACCTCACAGAACCCAGAGAACCCCAAGGTGTGATTTTATTGCTCGTGCTGTGGTCGCAGTGAAGCACACTGGATTTTGTCATCCACTGGCCACAGCTGGCTCTCTCCTATATTGGGGAGAATCCAGGTCAGCATGCACAATCCATTCAGTGGAGATGAAGTGCCTACTCGAGACAGCAATGTACCACAGCTCCTCTCCTGTGGTTAGGAGTAGGGATGAGTGGGAGAGTAGTGACTCTTATCCGAGACTATTTATGGAATGACTTGTTCTCATCCAAAACAAATGTCTACTCACCTGCCATTCTAATGATCTTTTGAGTACGGAATTGTAATAATCAGTTGCTGGATTGACAATCAAGTTTTCCCATTTCAGTGAGCAAGAAATTTGCATTTCCACAACTCCTTTTCCAGGACACACAAAGGCTAACTGATTTATACAGTGCATGGCATCTGCTTCTGGAATGGTCTGTGGGTCAGTACTGGCATCACTGGGCGTTTATTGGAAATGCAGGATTTCGAGCCTTGTCCCATAGCTGCTGAACAGAACCACTATTTTAACTAAGTTATCAGGAGATTAGGAAGAGCATTAAAATTTGAGAATAACTGCTCTAAGCAACATTACCAAAATCAGTTGCCAGTACCACCACATGCAGTACCGCTGTGTGCAGATTTCAGTCTATTTCTGGGAGGGTCTATATTGCAATCGTCAAGGCTGGTTGTTCATCAGACCTACCTGGAGAGCACGTTTGAAAAACACATATTTTAGAAACTTACTCCAGGCCCCTTAATCAATGACCCACTGTTCTGGAACCCTAAAAATGGCCCTAATATCTTGCATTCAGGTTGTGGTGGGCCTGAGGTTTTCACAGTCATGAAAGGAGGCCCATGGGGTCCAAGGTACCTGTGACAGGAGAGATGTTCATGATGGAGGGCATCTCATGGGGTCTATTTTGGGCTTCAGGGTGGGAAATGGTCTAGACTTCCAGTATCTTTCTAAACACAGTGGTGACCAAGGTTCCTTCTGAGTTACACTGGAAGCAGCCAGCAAAAATGGTCAAATGAATAATTTAACTTATTGAAAACTTTATCATTTTATAGACCATGATAGCCTTATGTTTGCATGAACACTAACCAGAAATTATGTGCCACCTTAAAGTAGCTCCTTACCTGCACAACTGAGTCTCCAGTAGCAATTAGAAATCTGTGTTTTTTACAACAATTATGAGGAATAAAATAGCCCAAAGAAATTTATCTTGATTTTGATAAATTTTCATTGAATTTTTCACATGTATCAGATATAGATAAATCAGTATGTTTCGAATTCTGATGTCCTCAGAAACATTTATTTTTAAAAATAGAAATGCTAGGGCCATTGTGCACCTGGGTGTCTCTGTTGGTTAAGTCTCCAACTCTTGATTTTTGCTCAGGTCATGATCTCAGGGTGGTGAGATCGAGCCCTGCATGGGGCTCTCTGCTGAGCATGGAGCCTGCTTGAGAATCTCCCTCTCCCTCTGCTCCTACCCCCACTCTTGTGAGTGTGCTCTCTCTCTCTCTCTCTAAAATAAATAAATAAAATCTTTAAAAAAAAAAAAAAAACGAGATGCTGGGGCCACACATTAACCCCAGGATTCTAATTCAGTAAGTGATGATTCCGTGATACTCTCAAGTTTGAGAATCACTGGGTTAAATGATTAAATGTTTGTGCAAGTGTATAAGGAATGATGATATTACAACTTCATCATGTTTTATTTTTTGTAGATTTAATAAAAAAGACTGTCTTCAGCATGATTTCTTTTACGTTATTGAAAAGTAAGAAATATTTTTAACATAAGCACTGTTTTATATTAATTATTAGTACCAATAATTTAGAATCAGCTAGTATTTATTCCTATTAACATAGGATAACTTTTCTAATATATACATTCATTGTTACAAATTTACCTCTAGGTGCTGCTTTTGCTGCATCTCACAAATTTTGATAAGTTGTGTTTTCATTTTCATTTAATTCAAAATCTTTAAATTTCTCTTAAGATTTCTTCTTTGATGCATGTATTATTTAGAAGTGTGTATTTAATCTCCACACAATTGGGGAGTATTTTGTAATTATGTTTATTTGTTTAATTTTTGTGATACCTCCTTACTGAACAAAGTAATGGCTTTAATTTTTAAGTTTGAAAAGAGGAAAGAAAAATAAATAATGAAAAATGTCTTTTTTACAGGTCATACCTGAGGAATCAACCATCTAAAAACTTGGTAAGAAAACTATAATTTTATCAACCAGCCAAATATAGAAAATAACTAAAGCATTTTTCCTTTTCTAGAGAGTAAAATATGATTCGAAAAAATATGGCTGCCCATTGAGACTTGATTTCGGAGAAAAGTTTCACCCTTTGGTTCAGTTGTAAGTATATTCTCACTAAAATTTTTAACTTACTTTGAAAGTTTCAAAATGAAAGTAAGAAAACAAGGCTAATTAATCATGCACTTAATATAATAAGTATTTCTGAGTACCTGTTATATACATCTCCAAGTTTTCAGTACTAGTTTATACAAAGTTGGACTACCCATGGTGCCTGCATGTTGAGGGAGGTTATAATTTCACTGCTGACACATAGCAGATAAGAGAACTGAGGCTTTCACTGATATGAGGAATTCTTAATCTCAGGAAACAAACTGAGGGTTGTTGGAGGGGTGGGGGGTGGGAGGGATGAGGTGGCTGGGTGATAGACCCTGGGGAGGGTATGTGCTATGGCGAGTGCTGTGAATTGTGCAAGACTGTTGAATCACAGACCTGTACCACTGAAACAAATAATGCAATATATGTTAAGAAAAAACAAAGAAGAAGAAGATAGCAGAAGGGGAAGAATGAAGGGGGGGAAATCAGAGGGGAAGACCAACCATGAGAGATGATGGACTCTGAAAAACAAACTGAGGGTGCTAGAGGGGAGGGGGTGGGGGGATGTGTTAGCCTGGTGATGGGTATTACAGAGGGCACGTTCTGCATGGAGCGCTGGGTGTTATGCACAAACAATGAATCGTGGAACACTACATCCAAAACTAACGATGTAATGTATGGTGATTAACATAACAATAAAAAATCAAAAACAAAAAACAAAAAAAAGAGAACTGAGGCTCTTCTCAGGGATGCAGGTGATCTCTTCACCCTTGCTTTAATCTCTCTAATCTCTAATCTCTAAGCTCCTACCAGCACCCCTGCCTGTTTGATAGGAACTGCCTTCCCCAGGTGACATAGGACTTTTCTTTCCATGGGCCAACAATAACTGAAAGCTTGTAAGGAAAGAAACTAGATTATTAATAAGGATGGTACATGGGGAAGTTTTCAAAATGTTATCTCTAACTTAATTCTTACAAACAGTATTTGATAATAATAGGAATAAAATGATCTGAGGAAGGCTTTTCCAAGTAATTTTCTATTACTTTGCTTGCATCTTTGATTTTATTCTTGATTTATGATTATAAAAGTTACACAGTTTATTACAAAATTTAAAATATAGAAAAATATGAGACAAATGACCCATTTTCCAAAATTTTTTTGCTATTATAAACAAAATGATGGTAAATATCCACTTACGTACATGTTTGGATACTAGTCTAGATATGCCATTAGGAAAAATTACTGAAAGGAAAATTCCTATGTGTAAAACATCAAAATTTTAGTCAAGGCTTCCAGTTTTGGGGGGAACTTCTGAGATCTCTCAGGGTGGGTAGGTGAGGCATAAGGATTCAGGTGCTCCCAATTTAGTTTTGCTATGGGAGCTTTCTCTGTTGGGACCCAGAAGGTCTCTGCCATCATGTCCTGCCTACCACTCCTCACCCATGGCAGTTCGAAGATTCTGTGCTGTGCCCTCTGCATCATTGTCCTACAGTCCCTCTGTCTGGGTCCTCTGGACTACCAGGCTAATCTGCTGTCTTCTTAAGTTCTGATCTCCCTCTAGATATCTAATGATGCCATTACTTTTCCTGGTAACCCTAAACACTCCTTCCCCCACTGAGGCCTCATTTTTTTTCTTCGTTTTGTTTTGTTCTAAGTTTTTATTTTAATTCCAGTGAGCTAACATACAGTCTTACATTAGCTTCAGGTGTACAATATAGTAATTCAATAGTTCCATACATCATGCTCTGCTCCTCACGACAGGTGCACTCCTTAATCCCCCATCACCTATTTCACACATCCCCCCACCCGCCTCCCCTCTCATAACCATCAGATGGTACTCTATATTTAAAAGACTGTTTCTTGATTTATCTCTCTCTTTCTATCTCTCTCTCCTTTTTTCCTCTTTGCTCTTTTGTTTTGTTTCTCAAATTCCACATGTGAGTGAAATCATATGGCATTTGTCTTTCTCTGACCGACTTTTTTCCCTTAGCATTGTACTCTCTAGCTCCATCCATGTCATTGCAAATGGCAAGATTTCATTCTTTTTTACAGTTGAATAATAATATTCTATTATACAAATATAATGGAATATTATACACACACACACACACACACCACATCTTTATCCATTCATCAATCAATGAACACTTGGGTGGCTTTCCATATCTTGGCTATTGTAAATGCTGCTGCTATAAACATAGGGGTGCCCATATCCCTATGAATTAATGTAAATACTCAGTGGTGAAATTGCTGGATTGTAAGGTACTTCTATTTTTAAATTTTTGAGGAAAACCCATACTCTTTTCCACAGTGGCTGCACCAGTTTGCATTCCCACCAACCATGAACAAGGGTTCCTTTTTCTCCACATCCTCACCAACACCTGTTGTTTCTTGTGTTGTTGATTTTAGCCATTCTGACAGTCATGAGGTGATATCTCATTGTAGTTTTGATTTGCATTTCCCTGATAAGTGATGATGAGCATCTTTTCATGTGTCTGTTGGCCATCTGTATGTCTTCTTTGGAAAAATGTCTATTCATGTCTACCGCCCATTTCTTAACTGGATTATTTGTTTTTTGGGTGTTGAGTTTGATAAGTTCTTTATATATTTTGGATACTAGCCCTTTATCAGATATATCATTTGCAAATATCTTCTCCCATTCCATAGGTTGCCTTTTAGCTTTGTTCATTGTTTCCTTCACTGTGTAGAAGCTTTTTATTTTGATGTAGTCCGATGGTTTATTTTTGCTTTTGTTTCCCTTGCCTCAGGAGGCATAGCTAGAAAAATGTTGCTACAGCCCATGTCAGAGACATTACTGACTGTGCTCTCTTCTAGGATTTTATGGTTTCATGTTTCACATTTAGGTCTTTAATCCACTTTGAATTTATTTTTGTGCATGGTGTAAGAAAGTGGTCCAATTTCATTTTTTTGCATGTAGCTGGCCAGTTTTCTTAACACCCATTGAATGTTCTTTCCTGCTTTGCCAAAGATTAATTGACCATATAATTGTGAGTTTATTTCTGTTTATTTTCTATTCTGTTCTATTGATCTATGTGTCTATTTTTGTGCCAGTCCATACTGTTTTGATTACTACAGCTTTGTAATATAACTTGAAGCCCACCAACTTTGCTTTTCTCTTTCAAGATTACTTTGGCTATTTGGGGTCTTTTGTGGGTCCATACAAATTTTAGGACTGTTTGTTCTAGTTCTGTGAAAAATGCTGTTGGTATTTTGATAGGGATTACTTTAAATCTGTTGATTTCTCTGGGTAGTATAGACATTTTCACAATATTTGTTCTTCCAATCCATGAGCATGGAATATCTTTCCATTTCTTTCTGTCATCTTCAATTTCTTTCATCAGCGTTTTATAGTTTTCAGAGTACAGATCTTTCACCTCTTTGGTTAGGTTTATTCTTAGGTATCTTATTATACTGGGTGCAATTGTAAATGATTGTTGTCTTAATTTTTCTTTCTGTTGATTCATTATTGGTGTATAGAAATGCAACAGATTTCTGTACGTTGATTCTGTATCCTGTGACTTGACTGAATTCGTGTATCAGTTTTAGCAGTTTTTTGGTGGAGTCTTTCAAGTTTTCTACATGGTGTATCATGTCATCTGCAAATAGTGAAAGTTTTACTTCTTCCTTACTGATTTGGATGCCTTTTATGTCTTTTTGTTTTCTGATTGCTGTGGCTTCCAATACTATGTGGAATAAAAGTGGTGAGAGTGTACATCCTTGTTTTGTTCCTGACCTTAGGACAAAAGTTCTCAGTTCTTCCCTATTAAGGATGATGTCAGCTGTGGGTTTCTCCTATATGGCCTTTATTATGTTGAGGTATGTTCCCTCTAAACTCACTTTGTTGAGGGTTTTTATCATGAATGGATGTTGGACTTTGTCAAATGTTTTTGTGTATCTCTTGAAATGATCATATGGTTCTTATCCTTTCTCTTATTGAGGTGATGTATCACATTGATTAATTTGTGAATATTGAACCAGACTTGCAACCCTGGAATAAATCCCACTTGATCATGGTGAACGATTTCTTTAATGTATTGTTGAATTTGGTTTGCTAGTATTTTGTTGATTTTTGCATCTGTGTTCATCAAGGATATTGGCCTGTAGTTCTCTTTCTTGGTGGTGTCTTTATCTGGTTTTGGTATCAGGGTAATGCTGGCCTTATAGAATGAATTTGGAAGTTTTCCTTCCTTTTCAGTTTTTTGAAATAGTTTGAGAAGAATAGATATTAAGTCTTTAAATATTTGGTAGAATTCACTTGTGTAACCATGTGTTCCTGGACTTTTGCTCTTGGGGAATTTTTTGAGTACTGACTCAATTTCTTTACTGGTTATCAGGCTGTTCATATTTTCTATTTCCTCCTGTTTCAGTTTTGGTAGGTATATGTTTCTAAGCATTTGTCCATTTATTCTAGGTTGTTCAATTCACTGGCATTTTAGTTTTTCATAATATTCTCTTATAATTGTATTCCTCTGGTGTTGGTTGTTATTTCTCCTCTTTCTTTTGTGATTTTGTTTGAGTCCTTTCTCTTTCTCTCTCTCAATCTCTCTCTCTCCCTTTTCTTTTGATAATTCTAGCTAGAGGTTTATCAATTTTGTTGATCTTTTCAAAGAATCAGCTCCTGTTTTCATTGATCTCTTCTGTTGGTTTTTTTTTTATTCATTTATTCATTTCTTCACTTATTTCTGCTCTAATCTTTATTATTTCCTTCCTTCTACTGGTTTTAGGTTTTGTTTGTTGTTCTTTTTCTAGCTCCTTTAGGTGTAAGATTAGGTTATTTGCAATTCTTCTTGCTTCTTGAGGTAGACCTGCATTGCTATAATCTTCCGTCTTAGAACTGCTTTTGCTAGGGGTGCCTGGGTGGCTCAGTTGTTAAGTGTCTGCCTTCGGCTTAGGTCATGATCCCAGGGTCCTGGGATTGAGCCCCGCATCAGGCTCTCTGCTCCGTGGGGAGTCTGCTTCTCCCTCTCCCACTCCCCCTGCTTGTG